ATATGCTCCACATGTTTCCTGTGACTCATTAGGATATAACCCTCGAGACCCTCGCGGCTTTTAGCATTCTCTCCCGTCTTGAGTGATGGGTGCATCACATCTGTTTTAGGCCACCGATTTTGCATTTCTCCTACCTATGCAACAGAGTGGTGGCGGTCCATAATCCCATCATTAGTTTACAATCTCTCTGCTCAGTTTTTTATCTTATTTTTCTAGGCTTGTGCGAATAGTGTTTTTTTAGTTTGAAGCGAATAATTCAAATAGTTGTAGGAAAAATTATTAGCAAAAGTTCTGCAGTGGTCACTTTACCGACCATTTATTTTCACTGCAACGCAGCCACAAATCAAAACTTAAGCTCATGCACAAATCAAAACTTAGTACAAGAAAAGTCAGCGATTTTCATGAAGGAACACGAGCTGCTGCACATGATCAGGGAGGAGAAGCTCCCTCCTGCAGCTCACGATGCTTCCTGCGCTTGAGAAAAGCCTTTCACTCCTAGTCTGGGTTGCTGGTATCGAGAGATACCTACGGGCAACACGGACCAGGGATGGGTACAGATGTCTTCCCCTGCACCTCCACCATGCCAAGGGGTCTTCTGTGCGCGCAAGGAGGGGTGTCTTCAGGTACTCAACAGACTCGGTAGCGAATTCGTGGCCAGGCTTTTGGTGCGTGTCAGAACTAAGACTGGTGAAAACATACCACAGGGTGTCTCCTAACGAGTCTCCTATGCCTCCGCTGGTTTGGGCGGCTGCATCACTAGGCTTGTCCACTGATGCGCTCTCCTCGACGGCCTTCGTCAGGAGTGTGCGTGCCCATTTTTTTTCTGCCTCTCCAGTGTAGCACCCGTCCTTGTACCTGGGGTCCACCAACATTGACAAGGCTAGAAGGCGACACGTCTTCCCATCTGGAAATCGTGTCTTGATGCTTTGTATGAGGCTTGAGGCAACTGATCCTGCTTCATCGGTAGAGTGTCGACTGAGAACAACCTTGGTGCACTCTAATAAGGGGATCACTTGGGAGAGGGTCGGATAGCTGTATCCAGACAGCTCAGCTGTGGCTTGCTCGAGAGGCTGCAAGACCTGCACTACTGCAGACATGAGCCTCCACTCACTTGCACTGAGAGGTTCCACTGTGTCACATTCCGACAGCTCCACACTGACGGGCACGCGAAGCTTCACAAGCCTCTTCATCATGGCGTGTTCACTGTTCCAACGTGTTGGAACGTCTTGCACAACTTCAAGTGGCTCAAGGTTCATGTTCTTTTGGATTTCCATAAGGCGCCCGCGGGCCTTTGCACTCTTTTTATATCGAGCCCCAATGGTTCTAGCTTTCGCACATAACTGCGAGAAACCCGCCACTTCTTTTTTGGCGTTGCTGATGCACAGCTGGAGTGTGTGTCCGAAGCACTGCACGCCAGACCACTGTGACCGTACAAACGCTGAGGTGAAATTCCTAGCGTTGTCCGTGACTACATAAATCGGCATGGTGCCTGGCACTGGTAGTTCCCAGTCCTCGGTAGGACTTTTGATGAAGTGTTCCAGGTTTTCGGCCGTGTGGGAGTCCGTCATGTCCGTACAAGCCAAAGCGCGCACGTGCTGTCCGAATTATTTGTCCATCACGTGGCAAGTCACGGAGACGTAGCTATTGTTTGCGCGCGAGGTCCAGCCATCCGTCGTGATGGAGTAACATTCTGCCCCACAACTGAAAATGTCTCGCAGACTCTTTCTTAGTTCTTTCTTTTTGGACTCGTATAGATCCGGGATGACAACCCGCGAGAAGGTCGTCCGCGATGGCACTGTGTAGTCGGGCATGGCAAGCTTCATCATTTCAACGAAACCACTTTCTTCTACGATGCTGTACGGATGCATTCCGCTAGCAATGAAGTTCGCTATTATCGCCGTCATTTGTTTCGCTTTGGGTGCAGTCGGTTTCAGTTTGGGCTTGAAACTGTCGGCTAGCGACGGTCGCTGATGATTCGGTTTACTCCCGTTCTTGTGTTTGACGGCACTCCCGCGTGTTTGACGCTCACATTCGAAAGTCTTGTACGAATCAGGGTGCCTTTTCAGGTGCGTTGCGAGGGTCGTTGTCGTACCCTTTGGAGTTTTCAGCACTGCCTTGCATTTGAGGCAATGAGCTTAATTTCCCGGTGGCACTTTCAAGAAGTAGTTCCATATCGGATTTCAATACACACCGGCTTCACTCTCATCGTTCCCGGCTGCCGTCGATGACCCGTCAGCCATACGAACGAACATGCAGCACCTAGAGCGAGCACACTTCGGAATCCTTTGTGGAGCTGCGACGGCTGCGACGCACGATTTTTTGATCGGTTTAGCATGTCTTGGATTGGATATTTTTTATTTCTTGATGCCGATGCGGCTTTCGTGAGTAACAACCGAAACCGAAACTACCAAATATAATCGGCCTTTCTTCCGCTATTCGTTAGTGCCGAATACTTCGAACTTTTACGAATATCAGAATTCGGATCGAAGCGAATACTGAATAATGTACTATTCGCTCGAATATTCGGAAAAATTGAATATTCGCACATGCCTATAATTTTCACTTCGTATATTTCAATATGTATTGTTATCTCATCATCTTTGCTTCCTGGCTGTTCATAGTGCAATTAAAAAAGTTGTAAGATAAACTCAAAAACTTTTGTGTAAAGATGTTTTCTCGGGATCTGTTGAACTTGTCAATTTCCTGAGTTATTTGAGCAATAGGGAAACAAATTAAGTCATTGGTTGTTGTTTGGTTGTTATTTTTCTTTATATTTTTATTTAACTGGCTTTTACAAATACCTAGACAAATATGTTCTATTCGCCTCGAGATCGAACCGTGTCGCCACCGTGCGGCCGAAATGGGAAACGCGCGAAAGCGGGGATACCGCCGCGCGTCATCTGCTACGGGCGCACGCTCAGAGCATGGATCTCGACGACGCAAGCCCGTTTCAGGCTGAGCTTGACATTCCTTATTAAATGTTTTGTGTTTTTGTTGCCGTTTCTTCTTACTAAAGGATGTGTTCTATCGTTTCCCATGCGTAGAAATTCAGCAAAGCAATTATTATTAAGTCGAAGCTTTGATAATCTTAGTGCGTTGGTTTGTATACAATCGCTGGTCCCACATATTTTTGTTATCTCGCACAAACCGTGGCTTCCATAAAGCATTGAATGTCGAGTGGGTCTGTGGTTTGATTCGAAAATTAACCCGACTGATCGCTATCCCTTTAATAGACTAATCAATCAATAAATCCGTATGTTGATTTTTCGCCGGTAATATTGCGTGAAAGGCGTTAAAACTGCACATTTTTTTTTACTGGTTTTACTATGTCATAAATGGCAAATCGCATTCCCATTCTAAACTTCACTCACTCCTACAGAAATATGAACACGGGAAGCCTTTTAAAGTGAAGTATTTTTTTAAAGTTATTATTTAAACAGTATAATCACCCTCGGTGAAATGACAATCACGCTGAAGTGGTTTACCGTGCAAGCCTGTGTCACAAAAGAAATAAAGACGTCAAAAATATTAAAGCAGGCAATTTTTTACTCCTTGTTGACTTTCTCCAGCAAAAGACTGCAATTAAACGGCAAAAAAAAAAAAATGCAATTAAAGCATTACTTGAATAATCTGAAATTTAACCGATGAGCTGCCCAGTTCCGATATACGTTAGGTGAGGGCGGAGGGTGATCGGAAAGTCTCGTGAAGGTCGCTAGCCTTCACCAGTGAAAGAGTATCACTGCTGCCGATGCTGTCTGTGTCGTGGTGCGCGTCGTTTGTTGGGATTGCAGAGTCTACTGTGTTTGAATGCAAGATTATTTAGCCAGAAGTTTATAGTCTCTTGACATCCGCGGCCCTCACCAAGAAAATTGAAGCGGGTGAACCCACCCTACCGAGAACAACATTTAATAACAGGAACATTGCTGCGTTGCTCGGTTACACTCGTTTACTACAGTCACGGCAGATATATTAGAACAGTTTGTTTCACTTGCTTCAGTTGTCCTGCCAACCGTGCAGTTTGCAGGGGGGCTATGTTCGACAAATGTTTCGTTTTTTCTAAGAAGAAACGTAAGTGACAGAAGTGATGATATCGCGTCTGATTGGTTAGAAGTTCAAAATGACGAAAAAGGGAACTTTCATCATTTGAGCCTCTAACCAATCAAACGCGATATCGTCACTTCTGTCACTTCCTTTTTTTTTAGGAGAAACGAAACATTTGTCGAACATAGCCCCCCATTTCTTAACTAGAAGAGACACACCCTCCTCATCGAAAAGCAGTAGATTTGTTCATACTCCAAAAAACTTACCCACACTATGGCACAGTAAAAGGACAGAGGAACTCAATAGCATGGTAATTTCCAATACAGCGTTAACTTATCTTCATCCCAAAATATTTATATTACTGCAAAAGCTAAAAGTTAAAAAAAAAAGCATAGAAACTGCGATTTCACAGCCCACAGCACCAGTATTATGTTATGTGGGTTGGGATTGATTGTTTCTTTTTCTTTTTCATTCACACGTTGATGAACCGATACACCCATTTTAAAAGAAACAAACATTTAACACAAATATTCCAGTTCAGCCGGAGACAGGCATCAGTCGAGGTGATCCATGCTTTCCAACGTCTGCCTAGAGCAGACGACGCACCCACAGAAGTGATTATATAAATTTAGGCCGCACGCTGGCAACACGATTCGATCTTCACTGAAGCACCGAACAGTACCGCATCCTTTCCCGCTAGAATTGTTTTACCACCGATAGTATGCGACAAAATAAACGCAAGAATCTACGCCGTCTCACGCGCGAACGTGGAGAGCCTATGGGGCGGCCGTTCTCCTATCCTCGCTTTGATGATGATGATAGCGCGACCGTAGCGCCACCTCTAGGTCGATCTCGAGGCCAATACTGCAGAATTTTGTTTCTTATTTGGAAGTCTCGTCCCATGAGGCCTCCCATAAGAGGGCACCTGTAAATAAATAAATATCATGCTCTGTTCTTACCAGTCCGAGGTGGATTTTTGGTTGAAGTTTCTGCAGAGCTCTCCTCTGAAAAAGATTACATTTTCAGGTTGAGTAATAGTCTCCTGCATTCATTTTTCAAGCAGCAAGTTCCATAAAAGAAAGGAGCAAAAAGTATGATATAATGGCTGCCAGGAAGTTGAGAAAGGTGCTCCACGACTGAGGCTAAACAGATCGCAAAGTTACCCGCAGTTGCAAGTTTGTGGGTCACATACAGCAAATTACAATACTGCTGTTATCAGTATGAGGCTTAAAATCCTATTTTTGAGAAAAAGGAGTCTCAATTTTCTGCAGTCAAACGAGATGCAGTGGCCTTCTAAATCTAGTTCAGCAGGAGAGATGATATCACAATGACAATTTTGTGATCATAAGAGATGGACTGCTGATATAGTCTGCATATTGTTGGAGGTAGCCAGCAAACAAAGAATATCCATAATCTTTTTTATTAATATTCCATTCATATAATTTATGTAGGTGCCACTTGCAAACAAACACAGCTTTAAAAAATACTCAAGGTGCATAAAAATAGATAGGAGAAATAACAAAAAAAAAAGTTACCTCAAAAAGAAATGTACAGAGGCAAGCTAGTTAGGACACCATTGTAATCTAAACCCTGAGACAAGGAATACGAAAGAATAGCCATGTCTGGCCAAGTTCAGTTGAGCCTTTGCAACAGCATGTCTCTTTTCTCCCTTCTTTCTTATTTCTGTGTAAATGCGTATTTATTGCCATTCACTTGCAAAACAAACTCGGTTGCACTCTAGATTTATTGTTGTGTTGCTTGTTCCCCTAGATTTTTATGCTAGGATTATGGCATTCTCTGTTGCTGTGAAATTGTAGTCAGAAAGATCAAAATAAAAAGATTGAGGTACACCTAAAACCTTCTTATCAGTTGTGAATGCAAAAGCATGTACATCAATCTTGCTCTACGCGTGTTGGCGCGCTGACTGGCGCAGACTAGAGTTCCTGTATGGGCTCCCTACGGGAGCCAGGGTTGCGCGTCTGTTTTCTACGTGCCGCCGCGCTGCTATACGCTGACATCCGATCACGTGAGGAGCCAGATCAAGTGCCATGCAGGAAAGCAGACGTTGCACGCGCGACGCCACTGTTCATTGAATTCAGTAGCGTGAGGAGCGAGATCAACATGCCGTGCAGGAAAGATGGCGCTACAGAGATGAGCACGCAACTCTGGCTCCCGTAGGGAGCCTATACGGGAACTCTAGCGCCGACGAACACGTAGCACCATGAGGTGGCCGGCGATGGGAGCCTGGTCGACGCATGCTAGCCAATGAGATTGCAGCAGTGTAAAAGGTACCGTTGGCTGTGGACGTGCGCTAGCCAATGGGATCGAAGCAGTGTAAAAGAGCCATTTGGCGTGGTTTCAAAGCTGATGACGTCGGCTCGCTCCATGAGACAGCTAATGCTTTCGCATTGAAAAGAGACAGCTCTTTTTTATCACTCGACATATCTTATTCTACAACAAGATGATACAGTCGAGAGATTGTCAGTCAACGCTCTTATTGTGCATGCTCTCTTCTCGAAGCTGTAAGCTAGTGCATAAATCTGACCGTTGTGCCATCCGACGACGCTACACGCGCACACCCTCATGAGCTATTCGAAGGGTCTAGAAGGGCTTTAGACAGGTCATGCGACACCTCATGCTGCAGAGCTGGGAAGCAGTGGCTTCTGCCTATTTAGACTGAACTTACTTTATGGAGATGTAATTGGTGGACAGTTCAAGCGCTCAAAGCCTGGAAAGTGTTGTCAACAGCACTGGGGCAATGGTGTTCAACTTAAGTCAAACATTTGCTCCAATACATGTTTAATTACTGTTGTTTTGTTTCATTATAAAGTGCAAGCAAAGTAATGCCATCAGAGTGAGCTGCATGCTTTGTGCCTGCCTTGCATTCGCTTCACATCTGTCAATGTGCTACACTTTCGAGGGATTTCATTGTGTGCCTAAAGGTTGTTTGAGTTTTAAGTTGAAGTTTCTCAGATTTGTTAAGGGCCGGTGCTGACAGCTGAAAAAAAAAAGAATGGCTCAAGGCAACAAAAATGTGTAGACTAGAAAGTCATGTAAAGAATATCTGTCAGATGCAGTATCAAACCTTGGTATTCGACAAAGAAATAAAACTGCTACACAGGTGCACTAAACGTAGTGCTATTTCAGCAAGGTTGAGAGTCAATCCTATAGAGCAGGGGTCTCAAACACTCGGCCCGCGGGCCGCATGCGGCTTGCGACTCGCTTGGACGCGGCCCGCAGGCTACGAGTAGTGGTCCCAATGTCTCGAGCGCTAGAAATGGCATGCGCCATCGTGATCTCCTCTCGCCGATTCATTTTCGCTCGAAAAGCAGCCATGCCATTTTAACGTATTCACATAGTTTATACCTATTTGTGTGCATTTACCCTCTGTTTCTTTTTATATTTTGCTTCGCAGCTTTCTGTAATGTACCGAAATTCCACTACTAGGCTGCATGCGCAAGGTATTCGCTGAAGGAAGCATTTCGGCTGCACGAACTCTTGATCAGCAGGAGCAACTGGCAAAGATAAAGCTACGAGCTCGGGATTCTCGTGTTCAAAAAGATGTCACCATTATAAGACAAGTATTTGTTCGACTGTTGTAGTAAAAATCGTCAGGAAAACAGCAACTGCTGATTGTTCTTAAAGACATGTTGAGCTTTGTCAATTTCTGCATGAATTGACCCACGGGAACGACAGCGTACTTGTTCTATTAAAAACGTCAGCATATTGTCGAAGCGGTGTCATTTTTATTATCACATCACGTCAAGGGCCAAAGAGTCTTATAAAAAATCAAATCTAAGTTGTCACTGGGAAGACTTTGAGTTTACAAAGAGCATAAAGCACAAGGTCTACCCTTACCACCCCCCCCCCCCCCCCCCCCCCCCGGCACCCCCGCGTCTTACGTTGGCCGTAGTCATTTCAGGTGTTGGATATTTGGCCCCCACGCTCAAATGAGTTTGAGACCACTGCTATAGAGAGATACTAATTTCGGTAAAAGTATGCTACAAGCATTCTATTATCCAATAAAGGACGGCTCCTCGACACTCGGTATAGGGACACTGCCAGACACTTTTGAGGCATTGCGAAATCCGATTAGTCTTCGTGCTTTGACAGCATCCCCAGGGCAGTTGTCCTCTACGCTTCATTGTTAGGAGACGTATCATTATCCTCTGATGCCGTGCGAAAGGGTACCATCAGCAAATGCCAAGCTCCACTTAAACATGCCACTAAAAGCTGCGATTTGCGAGTGCGATTGTGTGAGCGTGCAACCAGGAAGACCGATTACTTCGATGAGTGATAAATCTGAAGCTTATGAAAATTACGTTCTGAAATCATAGTCGTTGTCATCCGTTCGCGTCTACTTTTACGCATCCGATTTCGTTCATGTCGCTATTGAACCGTGTACACCACACGTCCGCGGTCGTCGATTTTTCGTTAAGGTTTCACCTTTCACGTTAGAGGCAAAGAACACAGCAGTCGTTCAAGTAACGATGAGGAAAAGCACAACACACGGAGGCTTGCGGTAACGTAATTATATGCTTGCAGGACTGCTCTTACCTGAAGCCGTCGTCCCGTCCAACGCCCTGCGTAGGCGCTTGTCCTTTTGGTTCATGTTCTCGATGAACTTCTTCAGCTGCTTTACGCTACGACAGCGGACGCCTGCCGTGCTGTTGTATTTGAACGCGAGCCCACGCCATGCCCGCTCCCGGACTTTCAACGGCGATGCACCGATTTTGCACTTCAAGTGTGGCTTGTCTTTCTCGTAGAGCTCTCGCAGCAACGCCTTCTCGAAGTCGGAAAAGAAAAACTTGCAACGCGGCTGATAATCGGGAAAGAAATCATGGAAAATCATGGAGTTTTCCATCACAAAGACGGCGATGTCCCCGATCCGCCGAAAACTCACCTCCGTTGTTATCTTTTTTTCTTAGCTCGAACTTGCCTCTTTCTTTATTTTTCTTTTTCTTTTGTTGTCAAATCATGGTTGCCACTCCGCTCACTCTTTTCGTCGGTTCGTTTTTACACATTATTTCGGACCGGTTTCGAACCTTTCCTTGAACAAAACCTCGTTGGAACAAGAATCTGTTACAAAAATGTGTAAAAAATAGTTAAGTGTAGGTTTTATTTAGACTTCAAATTAACAGCTAGATAGATAAACAAAAACTTTAGGAAAAATCCATTCTTGACGACCTTTTTTCTGTTTGTGCTGTTGACCCTGGAAATTCCCCTCCCTTTCTCTTGTTTCCACTTTTCTACGTGCTGTTCTTGTGATGTGATTGAGGCGACTGAGGTGATCGTCGTCGGCTGTTGTGTCTGCTACGTGATGCCGTATTTAGGAATAGGCGTTCTTTGCAGGTATTCCTAGGATCAGATGTACCATCACACCTTGGTTGCGCGATTGGTAAGTACAGTATGGTGCTTTTCACCGAAAACCTTCCGAAGTGGCGCAGATACCGCTCATTTTCTTTTGCTCGTAGTTCTAGCCATTCTAGCATAAAGGTGATCCCTCAATCGTCATTCGAGGCCTTCACTTACCTGAGGCGTAATGTAAAGGACTATAGAATCCTACGTTCAGGGCCAGGGCCGGTTTCGGGCGCCAGACGGAACTACTCCGCTGCGCGGCAACCGGCTTCGAAACCTTTTGAATGAGTCAGTGTGCCAACAATAGTGAGAAAATTAAACGATGGATTGAACCCATAAAAGTGGAGGGGAATAGTCTTCGTCTTTTTTGTGGCTTTCCTTTTATATGTGTTCCCGTTTAATGCGCCGAAAGATTTGTAGCCGCTGTAGTATATTATGCGGAAGCTTAACGCTTCATAACCCTGCTCGTTAATTAATAAGAACAGTAAGCAGGTGAACTATCTAAAGCGAAGTTTTTGTTTTGCTGAGATGACTCACAGTTGTTCCTGTTCGATTCGGCCGCAGGTTGCTAGGATAGTTTACCTACACGCGAGTTGCCCTGTTTTACAAACGTAGTTGCTCAATCGCTTGCTTTCTCATTTTTGTTTCACAGATCCACGGGGTGCGGCTGTTCGAACGTAAAAATAGTTTCGTCTCGTAGGCGTGTTTGCCGTAGGACCCCAGCTCTCAAGATGGCTTCCGTTGCCCTTGGAGACAAGCGGCACCCCTCCACTGTCAAGAGCACCAGCACTCCCGATGATGACATGCGCGCCTACGTGTGCGGCTGGGGCGCCGCCTTCGTCAACATCATCTGCACCTTCCCCATGAACAAGGTCATGTTCCGGCAGATGCTGCACGGTGTCCAGACCAACCACGCCTTCGAGCAGCTACGCCGAGAAGGATTCCGCCACCTCTACCGCGGCTGCCTCCCTCCTCTCGTCCAGAAGACTATTTCCGTGTCTATAATGTTTGGGACCTTCAGTGGCTACAGCAGATTCATTACGCACCACTTTCCAGAGTCCAGCGACCTCACGGTCAAGCTCTTTGCCGGACTCATGGCGGGTTCTACAGAGGCACTGCTGACCCCGCTGGAGAGAGTTCAGGCTTTGCTTCAAGACAAGGAGCACCATCACCGCTTCAGGAACACGCTCCACGCATTCAAGTTTCTCTCACCATACGGCATCACGGAGTACTACCGCGGGCTGGTCCCGATTCTGTTCCGCAATGGTCCAAGCACTTTTCTGTTCTTCACGCTCAGAGACGAGCTGGGACATCGTGTTCCTGTGGACAAGGACATATTCTGGCAACGGACTTTGAGCGACTTTGTGAGTGGGGCACTTATCGGGGCTTTCGTGAGCACCTTGTTCTACCCGGTGAATGTCATCAAGACTATAATGCAAGTGCAGTACGGCCCTCCTCACCCTGGTATGGTAGCCGTCTTCAGAGACACGTACGCTGAGCGCAAGAGCTTAAGGAGGATGTTCTATGGAGTCCATCTCAATTACACACGGGCACTTGTCTCGTGGGGAATCATTAATGCATCTTACGAGTTTTTCACAACTCAATACATGAAGCATGTCAGTAATTCAAGGAGTAGTTGATGAATTGTAATGTCTCCTGGCATTCAGTAATGCTTACAGCATACTTCGTGCTGTACTTAGGTTCATGCATTAATTTTAGTTGGTTTGTGAGGATCTTTCTTGTAGCGTTCTCTTGCTTGGGTGAAAGGAAAATAGAATGCTATGATTTTCAGCTCATATAGTGCTTTCAAATAGTTTCTAAAGGAGCTAAGCACTGTCTTTCACGAGTGTATGAGCAATTCAAACATGGCATATAGCTTTAGAGCTTTGGTGCTGTGTATATGTGCATCAGCATCATACCTGGTGGTGTGCACACTTGTTATTTCGTTGGAGTATTTATTTGCTTAATGTCCATAAGGTGTGCTTTCCTTGCATTGTGAAACCACTCACAAATCTTTGCAAGGTGACGAGGAAAGTGCCAGTAACATGGCAAACATTGCAACTGTTGTTACAAACATTAAAAAAATGCTTTGAATGTGATCTCTAGTAATTATATTATAATCTTGCAAGCAGTTTTTAATGTCATTGAACTCACAGTTTTAAACATGTCTAGTTGAAAGCACAGGCTTCTTCAATAGGACTCTGTTCAAGAGTTGGAGCTTAAGTTCGTCAAAGCCATCTCGAACTCTCATCAGTGACAGCTGTACTACTGACTAGGCACAGAATACTTCCTGATCTTCAGGCAGCTTTGCCCGCCTTGTGTTGTAAACAGCTAGTAGATGTAAAAGAAAATCGCACAGAAGCCTAAATGCAGTCTGGAGTATTCCGCCACACAAATAAATATAGCGTCTTGTGCCCAGTGCTTAAAATTCAAATGCCATTTAAGGTTAAATATCGGCAATTCTATAGACTTTGTACCATAGGTTGTAAAATGTGGTGTTTTGCATACCTTAAATGTATTTGCATGCTGACACTAAGGGCATGCTTTTAAAATTTAATTAATGGGCAAGTGTGGTTCTTCATGTACACTACAGATGAATGTTTCAGGAATATTTGAATGATTGCTTATAGTAATATTACCCATTCTAAAACAAAACATCCGAAGAAATTGTGTTTAGAAGGTCACCTCTAGAACTGTTTTATTATTTACTGTCAAGTGTCTGTTCTGAATCTAATAGACTTTTGGGTCAGTAGATCTCGAAGTCTGTCTGTCTACTGTGCAGTTTGGGCCTCGTGTGTACCTGACTGTTATCTTCAAGAAGAGGTTGACGTCCATGTAATTTGTGCAGGTATCTAAGCACTATGTATTACATACCACAAACAGGAAATTATGATTATTTAAGCTTAAAGTAACATATTGCGGTGCTTTGTCTGCACATTTGTTCAAGTAATTCTGGTCTCTGAATTCCTATATTTTCAATGCACCGGGCAACGCAAAAAGTACAAAGAGATCGCTTATTTTTACCAACGAAAGTATTTACTGGAGTTGAGAGATATCCTTGGCCATGCCAGACTTGTTGAATATTTTGCCTGTTTTTTGGATCTCTGGTTTGGAAATTAGTACATGCTAATTAGAAATAAAGCCTGTTTTTACACATCCGCAGTCTCGATAAGCGTATTGCAATCCAGTCTATATGCGCCTAGGAACTGAGGGAGAGGAGGAGACGCGAGCGCGGTGAAACGTCAAAACGTCTCTGCGTGGTGGAATTGGAACGAACTTTAGTAAAGCTAGCTGCCTTCGTCTCCACTGTAGTCGTCAAGCGAGTTCCAGTACGAGTCAAACGCCGGCCTTCCGCGTTCTGACACGTTCGATGGGTGCTGTAGAGACTAGGGAGCCTTCATGTGCGCTTTGCTAGGGTGATGCCATCCTTTGTAATACCACTCGCCGACAAACCAGCAGCTATTTTGTTCCTCGGCGATAATCCGTGGGGCTTATAACCCTCCCGGAAACAAGCACCTTATCTCAGAAGTTCGGAGCAGCGTTGTGGAACCCACGGAGTGAGGATTAGCATTTTCCCTTTCGGATGGGATTACCGATGGACACAAAGGCTACTTTCCGGCGCACGGGGAAACAATGAGAGAAACAACATGGCGGTGGACGAGGGTGTGGGAAAGGGAAACAGGCAGTTGGGATCTCCTGCCCAATACGAAGCGCACATAAAGGCACCCTAGTGGAGACAAGCTAGCTTGAGGTATATCCGCATCAGAGCTCTGCGTGCCCGCGCGCTCTCGCCCTCCTCTCCTTCAGTTACTGAGCTCATAGTCACTAGCTTCTCTTTCGAACGCCCGACCTCCAGGACGCGCTCCATGCTGCGCGCGCTCGAGGTGCACGAGATTTCGAAATGTTGTTGAAAGTAGGAAGCTCCTCCACGCCGTTCGCTCGTATCCGTAGCACCGTCGGCACGCAGTGTGGGGCTATATCGTTCACCCTTCGCCAAGTTGCAACGAGACGGGGTATAACCGAGGGCTCTCAGTCTGCTGGCGCCGCCTGGCTGTTGCCGGTTGGCTATACGTGGCTTGCACAGGACGTCATTTCCATTGCCCTCCAGAGAAGAGGGGAAGAAGGAGCTTCCCTCTTATCAGGATCCTCCTTTGTGCCTCCGGGATTTGTACAGGCGTCGCTATTCTCCCCCCAGAAGATTATAGAAGATTAACCTGTCACTCAAAATTCTTACAAAAGCAGCTTCTCTCTCCTCCTTTTACTTGGTGTTCAAATGTGTGCGATATGACGTCAGTGCAAGGACCCTATACGTGGCTTGCACATGACGTCATTTCCGATACTCTCCAGAGAAAAGGCGAAGAAGTAGCTCCCCCCTTATCAGGATCGTCCTTTGTGCTTCCCTGATAAGCACAGACGTCGCTGTTCTCCTCCCAGAAGATTATAGAAGATTAACCTGTCACTCAAAATCCTTACAAAAGCAGCTTCCCTCTCCTCCTTTTGCTTGGTGTTCAAAAGTATGCGATGTGACGTCTTTTCCAAACAGGATACTACAAAAATCATGAGGCGATAGGACTCCGACATAAAACGCTCGGCGCAGCGCATCCGTCCAGTTTTTTTTTTTTTTTTTTTTTTTTTTTCTTATGAAAAGATTTTTTTTTTTTTTAAGATTGTTTGCGTGTTTTTTGCGGGGGCCTTGAACATGTTTACCACATGAATCCGGTCAGCCACTAGCAAGCTATGTTGGTTCTAGGTCAATCGCTTAAAGGGATACTACAACGAAATTTCGGCGCTAATTTTTTGGTCTATATGTGTTCAAAAGAGCAGTATCACGTGGAACATACCAATATCTTGTTAAAAAAGTCTCGAAAAGGAATTTTAAAACGATTTAAACGATTAGCAAAAAGCACCTGGTGGATGTCGCTAACGCCTCGTTTGTAATGCTCGTCTCCGGCCACGACGAGAGAAGGGGGGAAGGAGGAACTCCACTCTTCCCGAGAACCCCTTTTGTGTGTCGCAGAAGTCGCTATTCTCCCCCTAGGAGATTATAGAAGATTAACCCGTCACTCAAAATTTGTACAAAAGCAGCCGCTTCGGTGGCTGGAACGACTAGGCCATCCTCTCGACGTCAGCCTCGCCGTAGCTTTGCTCGTCTTGAGACGACGTCACGATTGCGTTGGATGTCACGTGCTCTAAGCTGGGCCTTCTCCGAGCGCTTGCCAGAGTGGGCCGTTTATAACGAAAAATACAGCCACCAGGATCAAAATACAAACGTGCGATTGTCATTTACGGATATTGTGGATCATATTCAACCTATTTTTGAATACAACGGGAATATTTCAAATTTCGTTAAAGTATCCCTTTAAAGGAGCTGTGCAACAATTTCAGGGCTTTGCTGAAATTATTGTGGAAGTTAATGCCTCACACTTCTGAAGTGAACTACAGAAAACAGATTTTGCCTGGATACACTAGTTTTTATTTTAAAAAATGAAAAAGATCCAGGTTTTTGCCGCCTTTCAACTCGTACGTCGTCTTCCGGGTCACGTGCGCAGTGACGTTGATGGGGTAGGCGCGGGGTTCCGGAAAAGTTCTCTCTTTAGAGCCATAAGTGAGCAGCGAGAACTCATCCGCTCGCGACCGCATGACTAGGGGTGTCGCGAACTTTTGTCGAACCAGATTTTTTGGTCGATCTTTCGGGGTTCGACTGGGTCGAACCGGTTCGACGAACCTTCGAACTTTTCACCAGATTCGACCGGTTCGACTTTGTGGACAGTGTGGCCAGACCTTGATACAAGCATGTCTAGGTTTGGAGAATTTCTTTTCTTATGCAAAGGGTTATTTTATTTTGTGAACAGCTGCAATTGAAAAAAACTAATTTTATTCACTGAAGAAGTCAATAGCTTAAATTTTAGTACTGTATTTACTGAAATAGCCGATCAGCGCTGCACTTAATTCATCTCTTAGCCATTACCATCCAATCCGAAGCCAACTGGCCAGCCTGTCGCGCATGCGCACATGAGTCGAACCTCAATACAAGGTTCGACGAACTTTCCCCTAAAAGTTCGACAAAGTCGAACCTGGTCGAACTCAAACCGCGGCCGGTTCGCGACACCCCTACGCGTGACCCCGTGCTGGCAGGCGCCGCCCGAACAATATGGTGAAAGGAAGACAGTCTCATCCGGGTCCGGCCATACCCGTCCGGCCCTGCCCCCTCCCCCTCCGGCTTCTGGCGGCTGTTCGCGGTAGCAGAGAGAGCTGACGGTTTTGTGGACCTAGGATAGATGGCGCCACTAAAACTCCGTATCATAAAAGTTTTGTCGATGATACAGGTTTTTGACGCGTTTATATATATGTTGGAACGACAAGATTTATAGAAAAGTTACCTTTTATCGAGCAGGTATTCGCACAACTTGCTATCTTTCTACAAGATTCCCCATTGACGTCACGCTGCGTGTTTCTCATGGCCGCCGCTCGCGGCTGCAGGTCGGGAAATATTTTAAGTTTTGCCTCGCTATTGCGCGGCGGAATCGCAACGTTTCGATGAAGGGAGGTGTGTGTTCTGCCATTTGTGACAAGGTGAACAATATCAAAAAGCAGAAGATGCCAATTCTTTCAACGTTAAAATCGTTGCACAGCTCCTTTAAGGCCTCAGCTGCTCTTTAGGTCCCTAAAACGAGAAAGGGAAGGACTATGTCCAAAATCTTACCCAAATAGATCCGAGCTACTCGGGCGGGTCGTGTCACGTGATAACGCAGATAGAGCGACGCTGGACGCAAGTAGGCTTTCGAACGCAAAGGTGCAAAACCCTTACACTGGAGTAAGATGTAGTACATTTTGGGAACACGGCCAAGGATTCGAGGGCCCAGCAGAACATATGGACAGCATTGGCAGGTGGCGTGTGATGTCAAGTCTGACGAGAACCGAGGTATCCCGAAAAACGGTGGAAACGAAGAGGAAAATCGTGATGTTGGAGGGAGCCTCAAGTGAGGTGGCATGAGATGACAAAGGACTGTGAAGGCAAGCTAGAGCAAATGAAGGCTGAGCTTAACAAAAAATGAGAGAAGCGGGCCAAACTGGAGATGCAGGTGGAGGAGCTCAGGCAAGAGGACGCGTGGAAGGCAGGGCTAGAAGAGAGGAAAAGAGAGTGGGAGAATAGAGTGGAGCGGCTTATCGGTGTAGTTAATGAAGTTCAGATGGGCAAAAGCGAGGAAAGACAAACAACGATGGCAGAATTGCAGGTTATTCTCAGAGTAGAGGTCGAGAAGATGGCCGACCTGGAAGCACAGTGGGAAGAGATGAAAAGGGAGTCGACAGCGAGGTAAGTGCCAGATGTGCAAAGAGAGAACAGGGAGGGAGCGGTTTCGACTCGAAGGAGGTTTTAGCACCTATTGTGAAGCAGCAACAAAAGGAGAAGGAAACAGCTGGATTGATAGAGCCTAACCTGGTATCGGTTGTAAATGGAGGGGGTCACAGCATAGTGCCAGGAGAGGGAGGGCAGCCGCCGGCAGTTAGGAGAATCCTACTAGTCTGGTACCCCAACGTGGCAAGAATCGTTGAGGGAGTAAGCAAGGTGAAAGAGAAAAAAGGGTGCGAGTAGAGGCCCAGCCAGGAAAGTACGTGGTAGGTGCCATTGCCAAAGCGGAGGAGATATTGTGGGACAACATGGAGAGGGAAAACTTAGTGTTGATCCACGCAGGACTCAACGACGTGTTGAACGGGGAAAGAGAGGCAGGACTGGGAAATATGCACTATTCCACGTGTCCGGGGACAGTTTCTTGACATCGAGAGGCAGGCCATTGAGGCTAACCATGAGCCAACGACTTGAGTACGGCGTAAAACAGATAAGCTGGAAGGTTTATGGGGCTGGCTCCTGCCTTTTACACGGGGTGGAATCCACTACAGTCCAAACACAGGTAGGAGAGTGGGAAAGAGGATGGGTGGGCATGTTGCAGCTTTTTTGGGGACCCACAGAGCCCGGAGAGCACCGGTCGATTCACCAGTACCATATGTACCAGTACCGGAGTCGGGGGAAGCTCCTGGGTGTGAGTACCGCAAGAGCTGGAGGGAGAGCAGGAGGAAGCCCCGTAGAAATAAGAGAAAAAATCGGCTCAATATAGGCTTCATAAACATGTAGAGAGATAGAAACAGAATAAAGTGGGA